CGGGTTAGAACACTCATGGAACTGGTCTCAATGGCCTGAATTTTGTCAGCGATGATGCCTTACAAATACGACCACCGGTTGACTTGTCTTCAAGCGACCAAGATGTAAGCGTTCATGTATTTGTAATTTTCTTGTTTACAGATTTTAGTTTGAAAGTTTGACTACGAAAATTTTCCGTCACTGATTTGGTGAACCGTGGTTTATTTATTTATTTATTTATTTATTTGTGCAGGTTGCATTTGGTAGCGCTGGCACTTCGACACCCGAAGCGTCCGGCGATCCGGCAGCTTTGTTGGCCGTGGAAATACGCTCACTACCACAGCTTCTCCGAACGGCCTCGATTCTAACCGAGTTCGCCCACCACTGCGCACAAACCCGCCTTTGCCGACTGCTAACTGCTCGATCTAAGGTTGGTGTGAATTAGTTGATTTCTTTGTTTACAACTTAGTGTTCCAGTCAAGTAGAATGGCGAGTCAGATTCGGTTGTGCGAGTTTTTTTTTGTGGTGTTTTCGGACAGTTTCGACCGTACTATCATTTATCACACTGTATAGTCAGATTATCACGTGCTGTGCGCGTTTCATGTCTAACCTTATCTGTTTCCTTTTGAATTACTGTCGCAACTAGGACGGACTCAAAAAAAGGAACACTGCTTTATCCGAGGTACGGGTGTAGAATTTCATTGTTACAGCTTCAAGACGGTGCGTCGGACTTAACAACGCCAGAGCAACTTACGCAACTGATTTCGTTGTTGAGGGATTATCAGCAAGATTGTGCGAATCAAGGATGGCACAAAACGGAGGTTCTTTATAGTTTTGTTCTTTAGGTTGGCGTTTCGGTATGTTTTTTTGCAGCCAGTCGCTGTGAGTCCGCTGTCGGTTTGCCTGCAGAAACTGTGCTTGGAGTATATTGAGCGTTTCCATACACAACGTCGCTCGAAGATGAGGTAATTATTGTATCTCTGTGTTTTTCGTGTTTACATTGTTTTTTGTATTCAAGCGATTACCGTGGTTTCCTTAATTTATGACACTGCACTTTGACATCCCATTTTCAACTTTTGCTTATCTTTGTGCAGCCACCTTGAAATTTGTTTACTCAGAGCTTGTACTGGTCAGCACATTAAAGCTTTATAATTTCTCGAACTCTTTTTCGTTATTTATCGATTTCTGCTGACCATATGGATCCATACCCTTCTGTTTCCAATTTATTACTGACTTTCGTTTTATTTTACGTTATTTTTAAACATGTTTTATTGATTGACCATTTAATTGCCCACTGACTTGTATTTGATTTTATGTTCTCTACATCATTTTATTTCTGAAGTTTTTTCTTTAAAGTGCGATTCTGGATGCGGAGTTGTGGAAGGCTGCCGAAGTAGGTGCTGAATTTCAATGTCTCGTAGATGAATCACTTCGCACAGGGCGGCTAAGAAATGTCCCCGCGCCAGGTCTGACGGCAGGAGGAGGAGAAGCGCTCATGGTTGACAACACTTCGTTTGTGGTTGTGAGGTAAGCTGTTCTCCAGCTCAATCTGATTAATTTTCGCCATTTTTGGTTTTAAATTAATTCCTAGGTTACTCTTCCCTTTTTAGTTACTATTCCTAACTTCTTGATTCAGCTCTGCCTTGGTCTTTTCAAAAATCCTCGCTGACTATTGCGAATGTTTTGCTGCACTACCGGAATTCGCTGCCGATATTTTGTCGCGTGTCGTCGAGCTTTTGAAGGGATTCAACAGGTATTATTTCTGATTCTTCCGTCAAAATTTCACCTCTTTTGAAAAAGTTTTCTGAGCGCTGTATTGTTCACTGTAATTGCAGTCGCTGTTGTCAGCTGATCTTGGGTGCGGGAGCCCTACAGCTGGTTGGTTTGAAGACGATTTCTGTGCGGAACTTAGGTAGCTTTTATCCATTTTTCCTTTTTGTTGTGGTTTTAGAAGTATTTGTTTCAGCTCTCGCCTCGCGATCATTACAGCTGATCGTCCATTTTGTGCCATTAGTAGCTCACGAAGCTGAGCTTGCTCTTAGAGAGGACCAAAAACACCTCCTGCGGCATTTCAAACAGGTCAGTTCCACTAAATTCCTGCATTTGTTGGTTTTTCCTGATATTTTTCTGGTTTAGGCTTTAACTGACTACAGTGACCATATAGGAGAGATAACGTCGAAGCTTGTCAGCGTTATTGATCACCATACAACCAACTGCTTGAATAATGTGCGTTTTCCATTATCTGTTTGTACTACACTTTCGGATTTTCTCTGTCACCATTAGATCCTTGAACGGTGAGAATTGAAGGGGTTTTGAGTTCGAATTTTGCTTTTTCAGTGGGAAATAAGCTCTTCAGTGCCATCACCGTCTTTCCAACAGATCTGTCGACAGATGCAAAAATTTCACAACGGTCTAGCTGGCATAATACCAGATGATCAAATCAAGGTAGCGTCTCTATTGATCCTCCATTGTCGTCCTGAATCTATGTGAGAGTTTCGTGTGAAGAAATTTTTCGGAATGAATTGAAAAAGATAAGTTTTGTTAAAAGCTGACTCTAGCCGAAGGTTTTCAACGTTATTTTGAATCTTGTGAGGGAAGTCCGTTTTACATAGAACTTCCGGGTCTATTCCAGCTACGGGGGGGAGGGCGAGGAGGGATGGGCATCATCGATGCAGTACTCGGCGAACTAGTGTGAGCTCGAACATTCCAGCTTTTCACGCATGTCAAGTGACTGCCCTCACCTCCACCTTCCCTAGACTGGCCACTCCCCCTGGTTCGGAGTTATCCTAGCTTTCTGGAAAAACTGCATCATGATGTTGCCCCCTAATTGGATAGACTCGAATTTTCTCTTTGGGTCAAATCCAGCATTTGCGTAGTAACTACCTATGTGGTTATTTGGTAGAGCTTTGAAGAGGACGAGCTCTCACTCATTGGATTTGTTTCAGTCCTTGTTTGAAACGGTACATGAGCACTTCAAAGGAAATTTGAAGCTACAGCTAGCGAAGGTTGGCATCTCACCACACGACTCTCTGAAATATGGTAAGATTTTGCTCAGAACGTTCTTTCACGACAATGATTTTAACTTGAACATCCGATGCACCTGTTAAGTATAGTGTTGAACCTTCAACATAAATTTGCATTCATTTTCGTCAAAAATGGTCCAAAAAGGCTGACCCTAACGGTATACAGTCTACCTTTCTATAACAACAGTTTCCTTCCGGTCGAATTATTGTGGAGTGTGCCTTCAAGCAATGCTCATCAAAATGCTACAGTCAAAGATGAGATAATATCAACAAGATCGTAATAACTTGATGGACAAAAGGCATTTATCAACTGTGCTATTCAGTTTGTGGATCTGTGTTGCGATCAGTAGAAGTCCCGATACTGTTAAAACCGCGCTCTCAAAGCGAGCGATGGCGATAAGAGCGAGCCGCACTCGTGGGACGCATGTGCCACACGAATTAGTGTACTTGCTGCTAGGAAGCGAGATGTGCGTTTAAACAACTCAAAGGTGCTCTCTGGTTGCTTAGCAGACTTCGAAAGCGCAGTGACCGCCAAAAAGCGGCTCGCGCCCACTGGTCGTAGTTGGTAATATTTGGGCGGCCTGCTTTTGCTTGCAGAGGGAGGAACTGGGCAGTCTCGATTAGACGTGGATTATGGCATGGATGCCACCCGATAACGCGTTGCGCTGAAACCTCGTCTTACATCCGTTTTCTGAGCTATTACCTATGTGGTGAAAACTAACGGCAATTAAGGTTCCCGTTTTGGTTTTCTTCACGGGATCCTCCGCTTTTTTCGCCACGGGCACAATTCAGCACCACCGCGTCTCCTTTGAACCCTTCTTGAACTATCGTAATCGCTGCCTTTAAGTTACCAGCGCCATGTCTAAAACTAAATTTTTGGGAATAATTGGAGGTTTTATAGCCGATGAGGGTTTTTTTTTCAGATTTGTATCACAGGACTACGCATTTTATGCGCAGAGTTTGCGTGCGATGTCGAGCTGTTCGGAACTTCATGTCGAGTCACTTAATGATGTTATTTATGGACGGTGAGCAGTCGATGGTTCCGTCTCCCCTTATTTTCAGTACCGGTTTCTATATTCGTAATATGGTGTTCCATTTTGTAGACATGTATTAAATCTCAGCTTTGTTGCAAACACTATTTTTTATCTTGAAGGCAATTGCACGGTGTGACTAAAGGTGGCTATTGCGCTCGAAAATGGAAGTACTGGCTGTAAGTCGTTGGTATTCGAGTAAATAGAAGAGAGCAAAGAAATAGTGTTGTGCCCTAAGGGAGTGACACAGATGACGTTGAGGTGGGGTTCTTGATGATCGATTGAAGGTTTTGGTGGAGAAGCGTTGAGAGGTGGTACCAATCGAACTTCTGACGTGTTTGGTTGGTCCAGCGCGAGATTGAAGTCAATGACGTCCATCGAAAAGACGCCTACTAACCGTCGTATAATGCATTTTGAAAGCTGATTCTCGGTTGGAACTACGGTCCTCTAGTCTAGAAAGTAGTCTACGTCCGGGTGGAGCTGGCCAGACTGTTGAAAAGTCTTCTCATTGCTAGCTCCTCTTCCAGAGGTGTTAAGGGTGCTACCAACAGGAAGGCGCAGAGATCTAGGTGACCCATCCATAAGTTAAGCGGTAAATGAGCTCTTAAGGGTACCTAGTTCTTCATTTGCTCCCTTCACTATTGGTCAACCAATCAGTACATGTACCTACCATTTTCGGACCCAATGACCCACACTCAAAAAGTCGTGGAGTATGCCACTGAAGAAAAAGCTCACCTCAGGTTGTTTTGAGATGAGCTTCTTCTTCTGTGCATAGCAAGAAGGCATAATTTGTGGTTGTGAGAATCATGTGTGATATTGCTTATTTTTCGTCGCTGATATCTGTCACTTTCAAGTCTTTTTCATCGCCTTGGGTTCACTTAAATTTGTCGTCCAGTATAGCTAGTCATGGGTCAGTAATATGTGTTATGTGCCTATCTACGCATCGTGATCTTTTACTGTCTGAAATTCCATGAAAATCTACGCGTCCTTGATGTTTCGCATGTTTAAATGGTGGCTAACTGTTTCTCTTATTGCTTGGTTATCGTACAAATTTCTATGATCCTGGTACATTAAAAGTTCTAGATAAATTATCGGTATGACCTTTGAAGTGGATGATATTACCTTAGCTTTTCTGATGGTATTTTGATCGTAATAAAGGATCTAAAATAGACGCCGAAAGTACGACAAAACTGCCTCGGTTTGCAGCGTTCATAAAATAATAAAAATATCACCAAGCTGCTAACTCAATTCAGCAACTCAGATCCCTCTACAACAAAAAACAAGCCCTTCACAGCTATACAAACTCGTATACGACCACAAAAGTTTGATAAGTGCAACAACCGCACAACTCTTGTGCTGTTCTTACGAATCAATCCTACCTTTAAAATGGAAAAAAAATAAAGTTTTACAAAGCAAGAACTCAACCTGGTCATAGTGACATCTAATCCTTTTGCTCCTCTGCGTCTCCCTCACAAGGCCAGACACCAGACACTTAGGCCCAAACTTTTGCCACAGGTTAAGTGGCTCACACACCCCCCACCCCCCTGAATTGGCCCCATTCCCCCTGGCTCACGCATTCTTACTTACTACCAGGTTCCCTCCACACCAAAAGGATTAGATGTCATACAACCCATAACTATGGCACTTTCAACGTCTCTAAACAACCTCTATATGTTCGAAAGTCGACTGAATAGACTGTTTCCATATAAAATATGAGTATCTCTCTGCCTTTTCCCGGAAAACTCGAAGCGTGTCGAGTAAACAGAACGCACCACAAATGTGACGGGCGTCCCAATAAATACCTAATTAGTAATTTCATAGAGATAGCTGGATAATGTTAAGTTGAAAGTATTTATGAATTAGTGATAACTGGAAATACAACTCCAACTGGAATAATCATCCCACTTTGGCACAGAACATTTAATATTTTTGTGAACCTTTCGTTCCACTTGTGGTGTGTGGTCTTGCAAATCACGCGCACCCTTTGTTTCGAAGCCCAAAGGACCCCGCAATATCCAGCACCTATTCAATTGATTATGATGATTAACATTTTCCCAAAGGTTTCCGCATTCCAATGCCGCCGTATTTGCGCTCCTCAGTCTCATATATGCTCCGAATACGCAGTTATTGAATGGGATAAACTATGGACTGAATCTACGACTCACTAACGACCTCTACAATCATCACTGGACAACAGATAACCCAAAACTGGTGGATAACCTGTCGCTGAGCGGTGCGAGCGAATCACCTGCGCCCTTCTCAATCGATGGCCGGTCCTGTAACCAACCAAGACGTCACCTATGACCATGTTGCGACCCAAGGCCCTCCGCACATGCGCCGGGTGTAGAATGTGCCTTTAGGCTACCTTTTGTAGGGGTGGCGAAGGGTTTTATGGTAACCAGGTTGGTCCCCCGGCAACCGCCGTTACCTTCCTTGCCTGCACAAGCTTTACGCCTTCCGCCCCTCACATCACGTTATAATGACAACTACTCAAATGTACCTTAGCTCTGTTGAGGAACAGTTTTCGTCATTCCCTCTCCCATGCTCCGTTCTCCCTCTACTGCCCTCCAGCTGCCACTGCAGGAGCGATTGGGAACTCACAGTTTGGAGTTGAAGTGTTTTTGACCGACTCTGCTAGGAAGCAGGAGACGATGTTTGTAAAAATGATTTGCTCAAGGCAACGATCAGCAATGTGATATGGATGGGTCTAGTGAGGAATCGAGGAGGAAGTCACATTTCTAGGACTCAACTCTGGTGAGCTGTGACTTTCATTGACACTACTTGAATGCGGTTGTGAAGAATCACCCTCTGTTCAGGTTTCTATGCAGCAATGGGAACGCCTCTCGGACCGGTGAAGATAAATCTCGGGGACAGGGTCAAAGATCAGTTTGTCATAAAGAAGAAAATTGGCGAAGGAGCATGCGGTCAAGTCTATCTGGTCCACGTGATCGACCCAAATGGAAAAGTATGTCATGCACTTGCACAGTATTATGGGAGAGTGGGCGCTATCGCAATATACGGGGGCATACTCTAAGACTAAGGCTAGGAGAAAGCAGGAATGCCGGGGAGAATGAGAATGGCTGACGCGTCCTGGACTCTCTCCCCGGAGTAAAGGGCGTCTCACCAGATTCCCCGTTTCTAAACGGCTCGCTTGAATGAACCGCACGAGTCCGTAGTAAGAAGTCAACGCGCGGCATCGCGAGCCTCTGCGGCGTGCTGGGTGCGCGGTACGCGCAAGGGCGACATCCTTTTATCATCTTCCTGCACGCCTCGTCTCGCCATAAGTGCGTCCCTACGGGTTCCCACACTACCCCAAGCCAACGCCTTTAATCACGTGCGCGCACGCGACAAATTTGCACACGGTGATTTCCTGCAGCATATGGCAGCGTTCAGAGTTGGCGATCAAACATGCAATTAAGCGATTAGTCTATAAGGAAAGGGATATGCATCGATCAGGCGGCAGGCGGCCGTTAGATCACACAGGTCATGCGAGCGTAGAGTTGGCGATTCGCAACGTGCGATATAGGCAGATTAGCCACGGATCTTAGATACAGTGAAAAATGTACGGGCGTCGCATTGCGCGGCGTTCGACGTAGGCGATCGGCGATCAGGGATTGCGGGCCCCCCCCCCCCCCCCCCCCCCCCCCCCCCCCCCCCCCCCCCCCCCCCCCCCCCCCCCCCCCCCCCCCCCCCCCCCCCCCCCCCCCCCCCCCCCCCCCCCCCCCCCCCCCCCCCCCCCCCCCCCCCCCCCCCCCCCCCCCCCCCCCCACCTTTTTTTTTTTTTTTTTTCCGTATTTATTTACACGAAGTTATTACGGAGTAGGCGAGTAGGCGAGTAGGCAATTACGCGATCGCTCAATGGGCGGAGCATCGAATCAATTCACATCCTTCTCTTGTCGACTACTCGCCTAATCGCCTACTTCGCTGAGCGCTAATCGCTAATCGTACGACTTCTTTTTTCTATCGCTTTAATCGGCCAACAGCGAATTCACATGCACGATCGCCAACCATGAACGCTCCATCAGGCGAATAGGCGATAAGGCAATCGCTCAGCGGGCGGAGCGAATGAATCAATACGCATCCTTTTCTTATCGCCTACTACTCGCCTCATCACCCACTCGCTTCAATCAACTTATTCGCCTAGCCATCTAATCGACACGTGCTTTTCTTTCTGAACCGTCGTCCCATGGCATGTAAGATCGCCAACTCTGAACGCTGTCTATCCGGGCCGAGTGTCAGGAAAACTGAGAGGTTCTGTTGGCGGAGTACAGATCGGATGCGTAGAAAACATCAACTTTCTACGGGAATGTAAGGCTAGTGGGGCTCTGTTTTGCTTAGACACGTCGCGTCCTCTCGGGGGAAAGCGAGCGAATTTTTTTCCTTGACGTCCAGGGAGCTGGCCACTGAAACAGTGGCTCTCTGAGGGCATACTGCAGCACAATTACCGACCGGCTTCCTCTCTGACGCACATGCTTGCATGTGCGGATGGGATGATGATGATTAACCGGAGTAGAGACGCAGCTCTGCAAGAACACCCCAGGCCGGTGACTTGGGTCCAACACACACTATGATGGAACAGCTCATCAAAAGTTGGCGGGACAGCTGCGCTCTCACCATAAACTTGACTACATTCCGGTTCTCCGGATGCGTTTCATACATTGCGCATTTTCAATGAGTGGCTAAAAGCTATGCTACCCCCCCCCCCCTATTTCCTAGGATAACCCAGGAGACTAATCGGAAGGAAGGTGGGAAATGCAGAATTAGGTGGCGTTGGTACAGCATTCCACGTTCCCCTACACTCACCTCATAAACAATACACACCAGCGCCATAAAAATCTATTTGAGTAGTATAAGCGATTTGTGAATTTTCTGTATCTTTTATGGTAAACAATTGTAAGATTGCGGCATATCCTTTACAAGTTCGTCATTTCAGCCAAAAGGAAGAGCTGCAATGAAAGTGGAACCGTTAATGAAGAGTAAAGACGATGAAGAATTCTCAAAAAAATAATGGAAATTTCGTGCTGCTAAGACACAGTGGCACAAAGTGATAAGTGATTTGAACGATTGTTGATTGTTGTTAATGTTGATATAGCCTGAAAAAATGATCGGTCCAGTGATTAACACACGAATATTGTTAAGTAAGAAACCCGCGCAGCAAGCAGGGTCAACCCTATCGTTGTTACTTTTTGAAAAATTTTTACGACCCCCTCCCCCAAGGTGGATTTGATACGACCCCCTTTTCCACACCTCGACCACCATCATCGTCTCTATAGTATTTTAATTCTGATACCACAACTCACCAAACTCCGCCCACTTTTCCTCCAAAAATGCCGTCGAGCGGGGGTGGGGAGAGGGGGGGTTACAGCCACCTTGAAACAAAGCTAAGAAAATGAATCCCTCATATAGGCTCCTCCATTTTCTACTTACAAAACTACTTTTATCCCGTTTTTATCCTGTGTACCTTTATTCCGACTACTTTCAGTTTCTAGGAGGTCATCAGTTCCTCTACCTACCCATAAGAAACTGGTTTCCTCAAGTCACATGTGTTTATGGACAATGCGGACAGGAACGCGGCACGACCTTTTCCCCCCCCCCTACAGTCGCGACACAGGGTACGCACCTCGCTCCATTACAAAACTCTCAACACCCGCCGTAGGGGTCGTAAAATGTTTAGTTTGTGGAGCGGGGTCGTACCTTGCAGTTGGAATTAGGGTGATTGTTGACCGAGGCCAGCACAGTACCTTGACGTGATGTTGTCTGAAGAGAGAAATCACGGGAGCAGGGTCACACCGTTCAGTTTGCATTGACAAGTCAACGAGGAGTGGTGAGAGTTATTTGAGGCCCGAAAAGGGTGGAAAAAGAAGGGAAAGTTTTTTGCGAGGGCACAAGTAATAAAGGACGGGGAAAATCCAGGATTACTTAAATGGTCTAGCATGAGGCGCGGCACGGACTCCATAAAATTCAATGTCTGATTTGAGTCTTTGTGGAGAGCCACTGCTAGGACCACTTTCTTACCCACTGTACATAAGAAGTGGATTGCGTGTAGGGTTCAGTCTGTTACGTGAAATCACCCACTTTTTCAGCTTGAAGTGCACTTCAGCAAACCGCAGAGTATAAGAAGTGCTACACAGATGCCAACAATCGTTTAGCCTTGTGACAAATTGTTTCGGTCTCTTTCAACCACAAAACCGTATTCACAGCAGATCAGTTACCTATGCAAGGAAATCGTCTATTTTTTGCAGAAGTCACCGCTCTATGTTTTGCGATTGTTTAGCCAGCACCACCACCACCCCGCGCGTGCCGCATTGTTCTCGGCGAATTATACCTATTTCTGATAATAATTAAATACGTTGTGAATGACGAAATTATATTACGGGAAAAGTATAATAGAAATCAAAGGTCCGTCATTACCCTAAATCTGAAATAATCCAACTTACCATACAACGCTAAGGAATAGCAGAATAACAATTGTAGGGCTACTGTACGTAATCAAGACAACATATAATAGGATTAATGGTCAAACCCACGGTAAAAACTCTTTCTTTGGGATGCGCCCATGCACCGTCTCCCAAACTTTAATATACATTTTGAGTGGAGCGTCAGTGCAGACTTGCTTATAAAAGAACAACTACTTTACTGCAAGCGATAAGCCCATATTGCCCTCACTGTGTCTTGATCTCCAAGCAACTTCTCCCAACGGAAGGGTCAAAAGCTTGCGCTTGGCCCGGCCAATCCACAGAAACGGTCGAGTGGCCCCACAATCTCTGCAGAAGGACAGTTTGAGAAGAAAATTACGCAATACCTGGGGCGCAGGCCGGGGGTGGAGGAGACTAGAGAGAGGAGAGAGGGTAGGGGCACGCATCATAAACGCAGATCATCGTCGACGCGTCAAGCACTGAAAACATTCAAACAAAATACGACGGCAAGCCGTATCAGTGGAGATACAGGAAAGAATGGTCAAATTAACCTTTGTCCAGCGCTCTTTGCCAGTTGCCCTTTATTCGTCATGTCCAAGGTTTGCAATGCTCATCTGTACCCAAAGTGCATATAAACTCAATCTTCCTTGTATGGTCTACCAAACAAGTACTTGTCGAATTTGAACGGGTGGTTTTATATAGTAGGAATGGAGTAAAGGGCGCATCTTTTGGAGCAGAGAGGGGCTTCCCAGATTAACTACAATATGCGTAGCACTAAAACTTACAATAACTATCCAGAAATAAAAAGATTCGTTGGAGCATTAGCTAATTATGTTGTGTCTGCCTTTTGAAGGGCTTACAGGCCAGTCATGCTGACCTACCTGCCCAAGAGCATCGTGACTGGATGGAAAGCTGCAACCTCTGAGCGTTGCTGGGGAAAATTAATAATAAACACGTTAACTGTTCATTTTCACTGAACTTATCACTTGAAAGTTATAGGCCTTCAATGATCTCACGAAGCTGGATTCTATCATCGCGATGTGAAGCAAAGCAATTTGAGCCATGTCATGCTATAAACACACAGTACCCACACTATACTCCGGGGCACACTTGCGCAGGAAAAGAAAAGCCAGGTTAGTATGTAGCGTAAGCAGATCGCAAAAAATAAAAACTCCGCTCTTAAATAACCTATTCCGTTTTTGGGAAAATATAATGAGCTGCTCCCATATATCAAACTAGCAGCCGACAGTTGGTCTGCGTTGCCCAACCCCAATTCATCGTGTTGAAGTATAACTTCGACTATTCCTGTATTCTACGCAAGGTTCTCTGGAGGAGCGGAGTCAGGATCGAACAATATGAACCGCCATTATTTCGGCTGTTTCCAATTTGCTAGCCTGCAATGTATTCCTCCGGTCCAATAATCGTTCACTTTCAGATCCTTATGAGGTTCGCATTTAATGAACATGTCCCAACTGACAGTTGAAGCCTCAAAAATGTGCTTTTACTTCGCAGGTCGTCTACGTGTTCGATTTCGGATTGGCTCGTCAAATACTAATCCCAGATGAAAGTGGCCGATTAAAATTACGTGAGCCTAGAAACAAGGTAGCCCATCTGTCAAGTTAAGGGCGCATATAGGGTGGCTACGTTCACGATACATTATTTTATGCAGTTGAATGATACTTAAAGGAGGATTGCACGGAAAGAACGAAGGTCGAAGAAGGGAGAAATCGCCTAGTGGGGAGAGCGGTGAATCTCTTGAGGGTGCGGACAGACACGCAATCGGCATCGAAAGATTTGACCTCTGAGATCTAGCATGGCTCAAAGTTGGCGAGTTCGGCGATCTCCGCCCACCGATCGTCTGATCACTCGCCGTAGTACAATAGGTGGCGAGTGATTAGATAGCTGAGAGAGCGTAGGGTTGAAGAGGGCAAAGCGATGAGAGTTCCATCAAAGAAAGAAAAAACCATTATAAACAAAATAATTAAAATGGTTCGTTTCGCTCCTTCCTCAGACGAACCTTATTATTTCGTCAATCCCCGGAGCTCATCAGTGAGTTGGGATTGGCGAAATAAAGACACAGGGGAAAGACGAATAAACCTTGAGTAGACGTACAAAATTATCATGCAGAGGAGCATGCAATGAATTTAATTGTATATTTACTAAAATGATTATAAATTGACAAGTATATGTAAAACTTTTATGAAATTAAAAAGGTGGAAATGTTTGTAGCCGTCCACTGAATTAAGCATAAGCTATTGATTGAGTATTCCTTTAACTAGTTTAATAACATTTTTATAATTATTAGCCATTGAGAATTTATAGCATATAAACTTATTTTTATAAATACACTTAACTATATTAGATATAATAAAGTCCTCATGATAACCATTTCCTAGTAACACTCGTGTAAACTCCGTTAGTTTATCAGTAAATGTGTCAAATACGGAACAAGTGTTAGCTATTCTGAGTGTTTCAGTGTATATAACGGAGCCTTTATTATTTATAGAGATATTTGTGTCATTATGTGGAAATCTAATAACCTTGAACTGAAAGTCATCCGTCTTGTTGTTATAATTATCAATGCTCAAATCAACGGACAAGGAAGGGGTCCCATTTCTCCGGTTCTGGGCCGTTTTTCGTGGTTTCGCTTTCTTTCTGGTACTACTCACCATCTCTACCTCAATTTGGAATGGGTTGCTTTTCCATCGTAAATTCGTCCTTTAAATGTTGGGAGTTGGTTCAAGAAAAGGAAGTTAGCGAATTGCGTATCGCTGCCTCAGTAAGATGGACAACAATATGTATGGAGAGCCTCGAGCGCCGATGCGCCAGCGGGCCCATCTCATAGCTTCAGCGGTAGCAGAAAGGGTGTGCTCTGCCTCTTTGCTTCAAGGGCTAGGGCGCAGAGGGACAAAATTCAGCGTTCGAGGGGACTTATAGGCGCAGTCACTGTTGGTGAATTATTTCGTGAAGTCCTTAAGATCTTGTTAAGTGGTCTCGAGCGCATTCTCTACAGCAAATGACGCTAAGCATTGTTTTGAGAAAGCTAGTTTCTGTTTTCATTATGCGTATTCAAACTTGATGGACATTCAAACTATCGTACCCACTGCCTTTAAATTCGATATTGACCTGACTTATTCTGATCGTGGCAGGTTATGTTTCGTGGGACTGTCCGTTATTGTTCGCTGAATGTGCATCAATATAAAGAACAAGGTCGGCATGACGACTTGTGAGTTAAGCGTATTTTTTATAAAGTTCCAAAGCAAATATGTGGTGTGGCGGCAAGAGGCGCCGCTGTCACTCGCATAATCAATTGTACGAATGCTATCCGCGCCTGCAACGTCTGCCTCCTATATGGAATTTATCAATTGATACTATTCCTCTATTCGCCGGGAAAATACATATGCCACCATTTGTCCTAAAGGCAGTGGTCACAATGGTGGTGCGGTTGCGGTCCGAAACAAACCACGCGCGTTGACAGGTCTAGTCCACTATTGTCCAATGACGTCATCGAAATCGCACCGCCCTCTAACCATCGTGGTCACTGCCTTTAAGGTCGTTGTATACACCAGTCACGCATTCGAAAGCTTCCACAATTCTGCGTCCAGGTGAAATGCGTGGCTTATCTCGAAAGAAAAGATGAATGGAACCAATTAATCTCTTCATTTTTTCATGAATTTTAAAAGTGAGTTTCGAAAAGAATTTGTTCAAGGTACGGTGCGCTCTTTTCGATGATCGAATGTTTAACAGCCAGTCTACCATGGAAAGGAATGATACGAAAGGAGGCAGGAAAAATTAAAGAAAACACAACTGACAGTGCATTATGCAAGGTCAGCGCTTCAGTCTCACAGCTCCTCTATGAGACCTTTTAGGGCCATAGTAGAATGAGTGAAATGATGTCAAGGATGGCGGTTGTGCGACTATCTCTGACTATTAAAACTACCTTCTGTTTCAAAAAGCCAGAAGCGCGTCGAGTGCAGACCACACACCACAAGTGACGACGGCCTCCAAGTAAATCTGGTAACTAGTGATTCATAGTGATAGCTGATTTTTGGTAAATGATAGTTGTAATTAGTGACAACTGATAGAATACAACTGCAACAGGCTAATCATTTCATTGGCAAAAACATTTGCATTTTTTCGTCGTCACTTGTGGTGTGTGGTCTGCACCCGACGTTCTCGTTTTTTCTTTCTGGTTTTCTGATGTTTATGCTGATATTTTTGTTTATTTTTATAGGTTAATGATGCTTTTAGGGATGCCCGCCATCGTTCTTAGATATGGCGAAGGTTCTGCGGAAACTGACGTATCATGATATTCCTCCTTATAAAAACTTCATGGAAAAGTTGAAACAAGACTTACCAAGCAAGTTAAAAATGTACGTGGCAAGTAAAGTTAGGCGCTATTTGCAAGATAGAGGCATATTCCGAGCTAAGCATAAGAGGGACAAGAATTTTTGGCAAAAATCGATGTTGCACCATGCACTTTGAGACTTATCCTCGCTGAAGACTCAATCGCCTTTATGGAACAATATAGGTCGGAAGCGGTTGAATGCATCCCCACTACAGATGCCCCCGTATCTTGCGATAGCGCTAGAATTTGATTTCCAAGGAGGGTAACTGAAGTATGTTTCAGGACGGACCCCTATGAGTGGAATAAGCCTGGCGAAAAGCTCGCCGAAGGTGAAGGTGATGCCATTAAGAGCGACCGTGCAGAAGCTGATAAGGTGTGTTCGAAACAATTTTTTCGACTATTTGAATTCAACAAGGGGGGGGGGACAGGAATGGAACAGTGACGAGAGGCGCCGCTGTTGCGCGTGAAACTTGCTGGAACAAATTCTGCCCCCAATAACACAACATTATTTCCCTCAAAGCTTACTAACTTGTCTAGAATTTGTCTGCGGGTTCAGAACACTAAACCTGAACATCGAGTGGCTGCTGAGATGTGTGTATGTTGCGACTGTACAAGCAAACGTCGCCGCGGTTTTTACCCGCAGTCGGATGTGATGGCGGACATCCCGCGTGCGCATAGTAACTGTTGATCAAGAATCGTGTAGTGTTCAGGTTGCTTGAGGCGTAGTGATATTACGGGTAAAGTCAAATCCCTGATTGGAATCCCCCGCCCCCCCCCCCTGGCCACGCGTCCATCCTCGGGTCAGTCATATACACAGCTGGTCTAGCCTGGGAGGAAAACTGATTGGTGTCTATCACCACTAATCCTCGCTCAGTATTGTCTAGCTGACATCGCGTAGTAGAATGATGTCAATTTCACGTGGAAGCATGAGTGACGTGCGCATCCCAAAATCCATACTGATAACTTCCGAATGTTCTGTCTCCGCGTCGTGCATTACCAGATGCTATTTTTCTTTTTCTGACGTCAATGAAGAGTGCTTTTTCTACAGGGTGGCAATAAGGATGACAACACAGTGAATGAAATAGACGAGAGTGTTGTTACTGAAGAAAGGAACACAAATATCAGCTGTGATCAAGATGATTTTGCCAAAGGAAGACACTCTTGAAGGGCTCTGATATTAAAATATTAATATAGTTGTTCAGAACACTTGAAATTTCCTCCTAGAGATTTTAGACATATTTTAATTGGTAGGATATGCTCTGGTTTTGTGGATTAGCATTACCATGGTTCGGTACCGAATCGCCGTAGGATGCCACCTTAACCAAATATACTTCCACCAGTTGGCTGCACACGCATTCGCGTCCATCACATGGGATTGTATTTTTATAAAACGGGCCACTGATATTTTTATAGTTCACCGCGGCAAACTCCGCCCACCTCGGTGGCGCCTCCTAGTATTTGATCTCCCTTCCGTTGTCGAACTCTACCCCTTTTTTCCTCGTTCTCCAGGACTTCTTGGACCGAGTTACAAAGTTTCGTGGATGACTCCGCCCACATCGGTACCCACCTATGACAGTTAACCTCTCTTCTGTTGTCGGACTCAATCCTCTTTTTCCCCGGTCTAGAGGTCTTCTTGGAACCGAGTTATAAATTCGGTAGCAAACTCCGCCTACACTGGCGCACGACACGCCCACCACACAGATTCAAAGTTCCCCCTTCTCTAACCTCTATTTACTTTTTTCCGGTTCCTGGGGATTCGCTAAAGCGGATTTTGAGAATTTGTAATAAACACCCCCTACTTGGAGACACGCTTCGCCTACTGTAGGGGGGCTTCCGCCCACTTCAGTTATGCCGGGGACACCTCATATAGTGTTCTCCTCAATCCGTCTTTTTACTGCTCTATAAATTTGTCTCACTCTCCCTCAACCAAGTTATGTCAAGCTTTTTCATTATGCACCGCCCGTTTAGAGAACGCTCCGCCCACCGCGTGCGGGTCACCCAATTCGACTTATCAACTCATTGTACGCCTTTACACATTTTCCCGGTCTTCGGGCTGTTCTAATAGCCGAACTCAAAGCTTTTGCCGTCGGCGCCACCCAAATCGGCGCGTGCCCCGCTCACTGTGGGCGGAGCTCCGCCCACGTTGATAGTATCTTTGTGCTTCTTTACCCCATGCCCCATCCATCCCAGACTTGATCCGGACTGTAAGTAGTTCTTTAGGTGGGATCGAATTTCGTGACAGACGGAGAGAACACACACACACAGACTTAACACATTATATATAGCAGGGATTCCCGTCCGTTTTTTTAGTTCAGAATTTATATGAAGGGATAATGACACTGCCTTGCCTACAAGGCTTATACCCTGACTCAGCTGCCAAGCCGACCCTCATGACAATTGTAGATACACTTGGAGCCATCGTTTTGTACTCCTACTGACTAGTAAAGGGCGCCATTCGTTACGGGTCCCACTGCCTCCTGCTACAGTGAACCCTTCAATGTGGAGCGGGGAATCCGTGAGCCAGGGGCAGTGTAGCCAGTCTAGGGGGGTGGGGGGTGAGGGTCCCGCGGGTTAAGGCAGTGGGTCCCGCGACGAATGGCGTCCTAATGCTAGCTCAGTAGGAGTACAAAATCATCTACTGCCGTTCCAAACTTAACGGTACAGAGGAAGGAGCCTACACGGATGAGAACACTCAGACGACAATGGGAAGATAAAGGGCAGATGTGAAAGAGACGCAGACACCTGCGCGGCATCGACTTCAAGACGTGCATTACGTGTGGGGCGGGGTTTGTAAGAGGCACAAGCCTCCGCCCACGCGGTAAGGAGTGAAATGATTTTGATTACTGACCGCTCTACGTTCCGAGTAGAGGGATTGTGCCATTCAGTCATTTGTGGAATGCACTTATAATTGGAAGGTCGGTCACAATAGCTGTAGGAGTAGTGCGGCTTTGGTGACGTATTAGATGCGCCATTTGTGGATGGGGTCCCGTCAGTGCGCGCGGCTTGGCTGGCACCGCCTCTTCACGCCCTTCATACCCCCACACCTCCACCGCACCACAATTCAGCCACCGTGATCGCTGTCTTTTAATCGGTTAGTCGTGACACCACTGATAACCGTGTGATTACTATCTATGGCTTCTAGAAATGTCCACCCCTCATCTGGCGTACAGATTTATTTGTTCAGCTGTAAATTTGTGTGCACGTGAATAACAGGAATAAAAAGCGAAGTGGCTAGCAGTAAGTAAAGCTACGTATGCCGATTCCCCCCTCCACTAAGCCACCACCTCTACGTCTTTGCAGTCCCCGTCTTGGCCGAAGTTAGGCTGGTGTCAGAGTCCGCGATATGTCGCGCGCAGCAGATCAAAGACACAAGTGATCGATCAATACTACGAGGTGCTCTCCGATCCCGCCGCCATTTCTGCTTGTTGGTGATGGGTGAATGATAACTGTTTATGATTCTACTGTTTTCATATTCAGTGTTTCAAATCTTCCAAATGGGGCTCGGCGATTCGCGCGATTTCGAGCGACAAATACGAGGACTCTGATACCAGCCTTACGCGTCCTATAGGAATGCCAGGGTCACTTCTCATCTGATGCAAGAGAAGGGTCGTATTGAAGAACTGAGGGATGGAGTTTTTCTTCTGAAAAATGGTTTATTGTTAATTGTTCATGGATTTTTCTTGCAGCTTCAAGCATCAAAAAAATGACGTAATCCAGGAATACTTAAATACTGTTACGTTTAACAGGAGTTCTATGATCTACGAATTTTCATAATTGGTTCAAAGTTCGACTTCTTCATCACTGCCATAAACAGGTGAATAAACAGAGTTTATGGAGGGAATACGACGGTTTTTTATTGAACTGCTGCTTTTTATTGAAATTGATTTTTTTAATGAAGAACAAAGGAGAAGTGATTTTTTAATGGAAAAAAAACAAAGGGAGGTGAGTTGCGATGCTCGCATCCACGCGTTCTGATTTACCAAAGGAAGAATTCAAAAGCGACGGGGGTGGCACAGATGGAGCGGGCATTAGGGGTCGTGGACTTTATGTTGCGGCGCGGGAGAGACGCGCGTTTGGCGCGTTCGGCGCGACAGTCGCAAAGTCTGTCACCTACTTTAGACAGAATGTTTTTGACCATTAACCCGCACCCGGCAACCTACTAAAGTTCATTTGCGCGGTTTTTTTAACGGCCATCAGGGTGGCATTCATGCCGATTGTAAACGATACCAATCGCCAAAGCCATTGGATGCGTATCGATCGCCAGACGTGTCCGACGACTGGACGATCGATACGTACGTAACGCTCTGCGATCGTTACGATCGTTACAATGGGACGGCCGGTCATCGAATGCACGCCTCACTCACCATTTCCCGGACTTTTTTCCTCTTACCATCGAACATTATTGGAATTTCGCTACCATTCGTGTGGTATAGGATCACCGCTCAAAAACTATGGATCCTAACACGAGGCATCGCTGACCCACGTTTGAATTAATATTTGATCGAACTCTTCGTTCTTCCCATCTCTCATTTACTATTCGTCTTCACTTCTTGATTTTTCTCTTGCTAACGCCCTAACAAAGATATTTTGAAGGCGAGAGCGCTTTTTTAAAACGGTTGTTCTAATGTTATGAGTCTACCCTCTATTTCCGAAAACGAGAAGAGCGTCGAGTGCAGACCCCACACCACAAGTGACGACGGCCAAGAGAAAAGTGACTTTTCTTTTCTTTTTCCTGACCGTCGTTACTTGTGGTGTGTGGTCTGCACTCGACGCTCTTCTTTCTCCTGAACAGAGAGCACATAAGAACCGGGTAGTTTTTTTTTTTTTTTTTGGGCGGCCTAACAGCCAAAGTGAAAAGCAATGTACTTGTGACTTCGCCTTCCGTGGGAAAGGGTTCTATTTCCCGTTAAGTGGGGGGGCATCAATTGTGCAGTTTTTTCAAGACAGCTACAAGGTGACTCGAGCGCAGGGGGAGTTTTAGCGGCCTACCGGGGCGGGGGCATAGGGCTTAGACGAGTCGCTTTTACATGCGTGACCCAGCTGGAATATTCGAGTTCACACTAGCGTAGAGAAACTGCATCGTGATGCCCCCTAACTGGAATAGAGCCTGAAAAATCTCTTGCAAATCCCTAACTGTTATTTTATTGCGCTCATATCTGAAACCTTCCGCTAAACGAGCAGCTTTTAATATGTGAGTGTTCAATGCCACAAAAGTATCCAATATATTGAAAGTGCAAAAATGGCACTTTCAAAGAGGAGTGTTTCACGCCTTTCCGACATTCCCATAGCCGGTCAGATTAAAATTCCATAAGCACGTTCCATATAACCTCCCCTTCAAAAAGCGAGAAAGTGTCGGGTGCAGACCAAACACCACAACTGACGACGGCCTCCAAGTAAATCTGGTTAGAAGTTGTTCATAGTGATAGCTGATTTCTGGTAAATGATAGTTGTAATTAGTGACAACTGATAGAATACAACTGCAACAGGCTAATCATTTCATTGGCAGAAAACATTAACATTTTGTGAAGGCCGTCGTCACTTGTGGTGCATGGTCTGCACCCGACACTTTCTCGCTTTTTGAAGGGGAGGGTACGTGTCCCTCTCACATGCAAAAAACATTCTGCTGTTTCCGAAATATCGAGTACACCAACGAGTATTTCGCCAACTGACTTCGGTCTGGACAAACTCCACGTAATTGGTCTAGCTATCCTAGAGCACGAGCTCATTAGGACTCTTTATTGTGTAGCATGTTTTTCTAGATGTTCTATTATTGAATCAATACTTCATTATAGCACTGCTTCAGTTTCAAGTTCCAAGAACCGCACCTTGTGGGACAGTGCGACTCATATGTGCGTCATGTTGGCGACGCCGAAAAGGCGCACGCGTCATCATCATGTTCGAAGAGGTCACAGAGAGAATGGGAAAACGGAGATTACAATTATTACTTTTTTGATGTGAAAAACTTTGACGAAAACTTCTACCTTTGGAGTCGTGACCGCATCCTGTTCATTCGTCTGCTGCTACCACTTTACGTAGACGCGGGGTGAGAGATCTTGAATTGAAACGGTGCTCCCAGCTGTGGGCAACGAGCTAGATTTCCCCCTGTGGAGCACCCTTTTATTTGCCCAACCATCGCCCTAATCGAAACTGATAGCGTCACATTGGTTAATAGGTCGCCGTTATGGAGGTTCGTCGACGACATGCCTGATCAAACAGAATGCGATTGCCCGGTACCTGGAAGCCCCGTCATGCTAACCGCGTTCATTCCCCGGACAGATTTTACATCAAGGGCGACAGCACCATCGACAAATCGTGGGTGTTCCCGAAATTTCTGGCAAACTATTTAAGGGCGCCTGCATGAGTGCGTAGTGCGATGAATGATAAGATAACAGAAGGTCGCCGATTGTCCTTTTTGGAAGGCCCAACGCACCCTAGCAACAATGAAAGCAAAGCGTAGTGATAAGGGTGTGGGTCGCTAAAACAAAAACGACTTCTTCCCTTTTCGCAGTTCGAAACATTCGCTGCGGGAGCCCCAGGTTCACCAATGATCAAGGGGGACCTGGGGTTCCCGCAGCGAGAGTTTCGTGCCGCGACAAGCGGGAAAGTCCTTTTGTGGCCTAGCGACCTCACCCCCTCCCCCCAACACAAAGGAAACCATGTCTCCAGCCCCATAAAACGGTATAAGGTCCAACAAACAGCATCGGACAAGCATAGGTTTTATGTGACCTTTGGCCGCACTAATTCTCGACCTTTACTAGGTCAATAGCGCACCAATCAACCCAACTGTAGAAGTGGTTTGCCTATTCGATGAATAGCCGTGAGGTCTAACACCACGGATGTATTTGCACATTGTCGCCTAGCTGACGTCTCACATTCCAACGGAGCTCATTTTCCTGGCTGCTTTGCCTTTTTCTACGTCTCCAATGTTCCTTTAAGAAAACTGGTTGATTTTACTCGGTTTTAAGTACCACATTTTCCGCAGAAAGCCGTACCGGCTCCCCCACTTTCTTCACGATTTGGGGCGCGGCCGCGGCGAGCGCGGACGAGTCGATAGTGCCCGCGAACTGTGGTGGTGATGCGTTTTCAAATTTACCCACACAGTTCGCGGGCACTATCGACTCGTCCGCGCTCGCCGCGGCCGCGCCCCAAATCGTGAAGAAAGTGGGGGAGCCGCCGTCGTCGAATTTTTATGTCCACATTTTCTGCAGAAGGCCGTCGTCGGACAAGTTTCTTTCCTACAACACTCAATAATGACCGTTGCGATCTTTCCCATAATTTGGCTTGGTTGCTATGGTCTTTTTTGCAAATATGGACATTAATTCATCTTTCTGGAAATGAGTTTTGATCTTACCAAAAAGTACACTTGCATTTGGCTTCCACTACAGTATCTGGCAATCGATTCGGACATTGTACATTCTAGTGCGTGTTTTATAGTAGTGGTGGCTTCGCTAGCCGAGTACTGTTTGAACAGCAACAGCAAACGCGGCCCCTATTGACTGGTTTGAGGGGATTTCTTCCTCCGATGGATTCCTACTTATATTATTGATAGCCGCCTCGCATACCGGGCTGCACCATTCTGTGCGGAAATACTTCGTATAAATACCCCCCCCTTCTTGATGGCATCAAAGCGATTGATTTCGTTGAATCGCTTGAGAATATTAATCGGGCATAAGTGTTTCGCTGTAGTTGCATTGAATTTAGATAATGTTGCGAATGAGCTATGGAAAATTCATTCAGGAAAATGTTCTGACAGCACAGAAATCAGGGGGGGGGGCGTTAGGACAAAAAGCGGTTTTTTACGCTTTCCGCCGCGCGCGGAGCTTTTTCGCTGCGGGAACCCCTAGGTCCACCGTAGATCATGAGGACCTTGGGTTCCTACAGCGAAAAGCGAAATGGCGCTTTTTGTGCTGGGATCTACACTCCAGAATTACGGTTCCATCAAGAAGGGGGCGGCATTTGGCTGTGCAGTCTTGCGCGGCGCACAGTAATTCCATCTTTTGCAAGGGGAAGGATCCCCGGGGCGTGCGTTTCGCTTAAACTTTCTACACCCACTCCGGAGCTTCCCTCCTTCTAAAAAAAGTGGATAACTTCATGCAATATGAACTGTCGCACCACATGCCCCCCCCCCCTTACTGGATGAGACCCAATAGTGGGTTTCAGTGGTTTCATTGATTCAATCCACACGGCTGCCAGTGTCATTTTTTGCTCTTCGCCAATAAACACCGTTTCTTTTCTGAAGCCCGACAGTTCAAATAGTCGCGCTGTCGGCGCTGTCTGCGCTCAAGAAATCCCACCCACAAGTTGGTGGCATTGACCCCCCGACCGTCACCATGACCGTGGCTAGCGCATCGCCGCTCTCGGTCGAGTTCGATCGATTTTCAGTGGAAAAACTCTCGAATTTGCCATCCTTTTGGCGCTGTTGGCATCGTCATTATAGCGCTGAATACCTGCCGTCCTGTCGGCTTATCCCGCTGATGAAGCCCCGCGCTAAAAACCCTCCCGCGGCGATTCTCTCCCCTCCATCGATCTCCAAACCCACCGTCCACATCTTCTGGCCATTTATCGACCGAAGCTTATCGATCCGTGATAATCGTTAACATGTTATTGCCGGTAAGCTCATATGACCTGCCCGGTGAGGGTATTTGTGTCACGCCGGCGTCTCCGTGCCCAGCACTGTCCGCATCGATCTTTTCGCGTCGGCTCTCGTCTGTCTGGTGCGGTCAGCTCTGCGTGTCTGCCCGCAAGGCCCACCCACCGCTGTTGGCACGCTGTGATTGGTCGATTTCGGAAATGGGCCAATGGCGGCACGCCGACTGTGCTGACGTCTGCTATCAGGCCAACTCGACAGCATATATGCGCGGTTGGTGAATCGCGTCGAATTCACTCGCGGTCGGCATCAATTCTGCCATACGACCTACTTTATTGGAAGTTCATTCAGTACTTCCTCGTTGTTTTCACTACGATTCTGCAATGCGCGTGAACATTTTTCTTGTCCCGTAAATCAATGATTTGGGCCGCGGTGCAGTGCCGAGAATGGCCTCGACCTACTCCAGTGTCACTCCAGTCGTCCATTTTCTGTCTTAAAATCGTGTTTTCGCTGCATGTTATACAGCCTAACCATAGTCGCTACGATACAGCTTTTCAGTGCTTGGTGAAGAAATCTACTCGCCATGAGGAGCTTGGCCCTATTGCTACCTCTGCTTGGTATTGTTGCGGCAGAAATATTCTTCAAAGAGGAATTTGGAGGTATGTAAATTAATGTAAATTAGATCAAGTACGTGCATTACAAATTGCATTTTAGACGATTCCTGGGAAAAACGGTGGATACAGTCAAAGCACAAAGACGACTATGGAGAATTCAAGTTGTCGACTGGCAAATACTTCGGTGATGCTAAGAGAGATCAAGGATTGAAAACTAGTCAAGATGCGAAGTTCTATTCCCGAGCAGCCAAGTTCCCTAAGGTATGTGTTTTTTCACTACATGGATGGTCTGCTGCAGAAGTGAGCGCTACCCTAGAAGGCGAGTAGAGGGACTGTGGTCGGTATCGAGTGGTAAAGGCTTTCGAGGAGGATTCGCACCTTGTTCCGGCGAAGTGAGATATGGGAAACGCACGTGAAGGGTCAAGCTTGCTTCAGCATTTACAGCTGGCTTTGGCACTGCGGGTGGTCCTTACCTCCGGGATTTACTAGCGAGAATGCCACTCTAGGGGTTAAGCATCTACATGTTATAAAAAAATTGACCTGAGAAAATATGTATTATGTGCTCAATAGAACATAGGTATAACTCGCAGTGAATACTGCTCTGCTTAATGCAAAAAAGGAGAATGATAAGTATTAGAGCGTTTACCTTAAAGGAAGCAGTCACGATAATTTTCATGGCAACGATAAGGAAAGCTATGTATTGGAGTGGATAGAGGTCCTGCCCAATGTTAGAACACGTAAAGTTTCAGTGGCAGTGGCCCCTTATCAATGAAGTGATAAGGAGCCGAAATTCACTCAAGTTCAGCAAAACCAAGACTTATCGATGTGGAAAGGGGTGCGATAAGAGCGTGCTAGATATGATACCGTTATCGTTATCGTCCCGTTTTCATTCTGGAGTGCACCTTTATCAAGCAGCCGCACCTTCTTATCTCATGGTATCATATCTTCCATGGGCTTACACTCGTCCAACAATTACTGCCTCACACCTTATCGATTGATAACGCGAGGTAGCAAATCCAGCGTGGAAGCCAGCGTGACTGGCTTCCATATCACTACCCAGCGGACGCCCATGCTTGTAAGCTTCCATCACGATCCCATGGTCAGTCGATCGAAGCGGTGCTTTCGCCGCTCACAGTGATGCTGCCGGCCATATCGAAGTGAGCAAGCCATCAACCGTTTTTTTGTTGCGCTCAGACGTGTAGACACGGCTAGGAAAAATGGGAGATGCTTCCTTACAGAGCATTTGCGTGGATTAGATCGCTTGTGCCGTGGCACATTGATAAGGCGCTCTTACCGGTGTATATCATCCTCAGCGCCTTAGGGGAAAGGCCAACATCATCTGTGTCGGTGTGCATGAAAGTGAAGGCGCGGAATAGTGTGGCAGTGAAAAAGGAGTCAAGAGAAAGTGTCAAAAGCTTTGAGAAAAGAGACGCTTATCCTGCCCGTTGTTTCAACTTTGGATGAACTCTGGGTAAGATAGAGGTTGTTTGGTTGAAGTAAACGTGTCACTTCGAAGCGAAGACGTTAAAAGATACGAAGCAAAGTTGAGTCCTCCTCGAGTTCCTAGTGGTGAGTGTCTCTTAGTATTGTTGCATCTTGGAGTCCTTTACCGGATTATCGTCACCTCTGGCTAAACCCTTCTATTGACGCATGATGCCGTACGTGAGTGCCGACAGTTACGACGTTGATCCAAAAGCCGATTTCTGTGGTAGTTTATACATCCAAAATGGTAGTTGTTTGGAGGTCGATTCTACTCGAAACATTGTACTTTCAAGCGTTTAAGTCCGGCGTACTCAGTATTAACATTTTTAGACGAGAAGATTCTTAGTCTAGAATTGAGGTAACATTATACCACACTGAAACTATATGCGTTTGGTTTAAACCACAAAAGAAAAAAGGAGTTTCTTGTTACACAAGAGGCCACGTTTCAATAGACTTCGATTTTCGATTGTTGTGCTCTCAGAAGGTCGGCAGTTCCAAGCTAAAAAAGCAATGAGTTCGATTTGGAGATTCTCCTCTGCATCATATTCCTTGACTGTTAGATAATTTATCATCTCCAAGGGCAGTAGATGGCCTTCTGAACGAGGTTGATCACTTCTGCACGGTGGATCTGGTAGAACTTCTTAACTGAGTTCGAAATCTAGGTCCCTGTCATTTTGGAAACGCATGGGCTCGGTTGCCATGGAGTTGACATAGTTGATTGAATATTGGGCGTATTGGTTGAACTTTCCTTACCAGCTTCAGGCGTTAATCACAGGAGACCTGGTCGTTACAGGGCAGAGTTGGGAAGAAGGTTCTCAGTGGCTGATTTGCGATTCGTTTTCCATACGTTTACCACAACGTTTTGCTGAATTTCGCAGTTTTTCAGCACCTGACTAATACAGCAGCTGGTGCTTCTGCAGGTGCTTAGCATAGAACAACATCATCTCGTCATCAGTAGCGACGTTGTTCATCCACAACGTAGGGATGGAACATAGAGAATGTTGACTGAACTCGTTGTTACACTCTTGTGATTAGTGGTCTATTCATGAGAGTTACTCTGTCCAAGCCTCTAGGAGAGCATGTAGATCAGAATCGGACAAACATTGCCTTCTCTGGTCAGGATTTTCTGGCAGTCTCTAGAGCAATGCAGGTTTGACCATTCTGATACCGCATGGTGAACCCCGACAAGGATGTGTATTGCAAAGCAAATACTACTCTTGGCTCCGACCGGTTTGTGGCTCGGCAGAAGTTCACAAAGTAGGCTCTTTGTAGCCCACCTGGTCATATCCAGAAGTCTTAAGTGAGGTTCTGGCGTGAGGTTCAAAAAAGTTGTACGAACATCGGTGAAAGTCCAGCTTGGGTTGGCACTCAGTATGTTCTCCAGTGCTCTAGATAAGAATGAGAGCGCTCATGACACGTAATCAACTCATTTTCAGTATACTTTGATAAGTACCGGTGTAGTGTGGAAGTGATCCTGAGGTTCTTGCACAATTTTGCCTGCAGTGTTCCAAGGAAACGGCCCTGAACCAGGGGACTGGACTCGGTTCAAGAGTGGAGGAGGTTCAGGGTGGATGATCTGGTGCGGAAAATCGGATAGGATGTGGGCAGGGTGTGGAATGTAGGACATCCACCGGTCCTTATCAAAAGTACGCTCGAAATGAGTCGTTCACTTATTATCTTATCCGTAGTGTTCGATAGCCCAAAGAACTGCTCTCTAGTACTACGGATAAGATAGCAATGGAGTGCCCCTCCCCCTCCCTGAACACCTCCTTGAAAATGCCTTCAGTGTGATCTCACCTGTAATATGAAGCAACGGCATCATCTTTCACTGATAAAGTAGTGGCAATGTTCCACCCTATCAGCAAGTCATGACTGGGAAAAAAAGATAGATCCAACAGTCCGTAAGAGCATTCTATACCCTGGAATTCGATTCCATAAGGGTAATATTCATGCGAGGTTGCTCTCCCAGAGAAGTTCAACAGCTAATTGTTTCGTCTGTAAGGTAATGCCTCTCAAATAAATTCTTCGAGGTGTGATCATTTCCGTTACTCTGGAATGAATGTAATACATTGATAATGGCATGGTGTTGCAATAGAATATGGAAAGGAGATGTTGTCGAGCGGAAGTAACCTGCACTTCAAGGAACTCTTATCTTTCTGCATATGTCTGGTTAACTGAAATCAGTGACCGCAGCAGTAGTGTTAATGTAGCAAAATGCAATCATGTTCATTTTGAGACATATTTGGTATCAGTGCAGGGTTTGTGTTTCAGCCCTTCTCTAACAAAGGAAAGACAGTCGTTATTCAATACACCGTCAAGCACGAACAGGGGATCGACTGTGGAGGTGGTTACGTGAAGGTAGGTATACATTATTTGTGGGGTACGTTTTATCAGAAAACACATACTCTCATGTTTAGGTTATGAGCTCAGATGCTGATCTCAAAGACTTCCACGGTGAGACGCCATACAATGTGATGTTCGGACCTGACATTTGTGGGCCCACAAAGAAAGTCCACGTCATTTTCTCCTACAAGGGCAAGAATCATCTCATAAAGAAGGACATCCGCTGCAAGGTAAACCATCAATCATGCATCGATCAAATAATTGACTAATTATGTTTGGAATAGCCAGGTGCAATAACGAAAAGTGATCAAATTGAGGATTTTTAGGATGATGAGCTGACTCACCTGTACACACTTATCGTGAAGCCAGACAATACTTATGAGGTGCAGATTGATGGCGAGAAGGTTGAGAGTGGCGAGATTGAGGCAGACTGGGATATGCTTCCTCCAAAGAAGATCAAGGATCCCGACGCGAAGAAACCGGAGGACTGGGACGAAAGAGAGTTCATTGATGACGCTGATGACAAGAAGGTGAGGCCTTTGTGAACTGCATGCTTGTTTTAGTCTTTTGGTAATCATAAGCGAGCATTTTCCAGCCGGAGGATTGGGACAAGCCAGAGCACATTCCCGACCCAGATGCAAAGAAGCCTGATGACTGGGATGATGAGATGGATGGAGAATGGGAACCTCCAATGATCGACAACCCAGAATACAAGGGAGAGTGGAAGGCCAAGCAGATCAAGAATCCCGACTACAAGGGCAAATGGATTCATCCTGAAATCGACAACCCAGAGTACACTCCCGATGACGAGTTGTACCTTTATAAAGACTGGGGAGCGATCGGTTTCGATCTTTGGCAAGTCAAGTCTGGCACAATCTTTGACAACATCATTATAACCGATTCAATCGATGAAGCTAAAGCTCATGCCGCTGAAACTTTCGATAAGTTGAAGACAGAGGAGAAGGAGAAGAAGGACAAGGCCGATGAAGAAGAGAGAAAGAAGATGGAAGAGGAGATGAAGAAGAAGGAGGAGAGAGGAGAAGAAGAAGAAGGAGGAGGAGGAGAAGAAGGAAGAAAAGGAGGAGAAGGAGGACAAGGATGATGAGGACAAGGAAGACAAGGATGAGGAAGCTCATGACGAACTCTAAATTCTGCCAAGCTCTGTTGTTTCGGGTCGGTGACTACAAGTTGCGTTTCTGTAACTGCTAGTCTCGTTTCTAGCCCTTTTTGTTCTTGTTGTTTTTATTATTATTTTGCGTCACCAATACATGAGGTATCGTGGCAAGGGTTTGTTTTTTTTTCTAAGATTTGTCTCCCCTCCCTGCCTCGTATTGCTTTTTCCAGTTGGTTGCGTTTAATAAATTATTTATTGATAAATACATTTTATTTTATTTAGCTGTAACACCATCGTTCAGTTGATTTGATATTCAGTGCGACAATTTAGTATGCATGATCTTGAGGACCAGTACGCATGAACACGCATTCCAAATACCGAAAGTACGGATAAAAGATTTCGATACGAACGTGTTTTTGCGCAAATAGAGTTCGCTTCATAAAAGGCATAGGGTACACATTGTAGATGATCCAGTGAACACGCGCATTTCTTGAAATGTGAAGTTTATAACTTAATTTGCCTCATCTTAACTCGAAATCATGATTCATCTGCGTACGAGTATCATGTGACAGAAAATATATCTGTGGTTTTGTTACTTGTGGAATGTGAAATGTCTACCGAGTAGTTACAGGAGTGAATCGGCAGCATTCTGTTTTAATTGTTGTAAAATCTGAAAAAGTAATGCATTGTATGTCGTGGAAAAAGCTTTGAACAGTGATCGCGTAACATTGTTAGGTGCTATACA